AACCAGTGTTGTTTTTAAGGAAAGTGTATAGACTTTATTATCATAAAGACAAAAATCTTTTGAGAACGTCTGTTTTTTGGGTTGGCAAAAGGATCAGCAGAAAGAGTTAACTTTAGTTTTTTTATATTTATTTTTTTTTTAATTTTTTATTTCTTATAATCTTTTTATATATAAAATTAAGTAGGTATTTATAACTATTCAACATTATCTTTAATATGGATAATTATTTTTAAAAGTAACAAAAATGTTAGATATAATTTTTTTAGATCCAACTTTTAAATAATATATATATAATATAAATTTTAGGATCATATTAGAAAATTTTTGATTTATTTTTGAAAATAATTACCCATATATATTGATTTAATATTTATTTTTCTTTATTACTTAAATAGTTTCTATAGGCAAGCTAACATTAGACTTACTAATCATTTGGTTATATGAAAGATGTTATTACTTTCTACATATAAAATATTTTATAATTTTATAATATAATAAAGAGATAATGTTTATCTACTTTAAAAAAAAATTATTTTATTAAAATTCAAATTTAAATTAATAAGTTGAAATTCTTTATAAATAATTAATTATCAAAACTAAATTCAAAATAATTGATGTGCAAAGATAAACAGAAATAAATTGAATTTCATTTATGAAATACTGTAACATCAAATAATAATAATAATTAAATGAAAGACAATGTACACAAGAATACAAGAATAAATCAAAAAAGTAAACCAGAATTTTTATTTATTATTATGATTATATACCTTATCAGTTTTTTGTTTGTTACGCAATTGAAACCCAGCATTCTTTAGTGCATAAGCAAGAATGTGCATTGTATTCTTTGATTGATATCGATTATCTAGGATTTTTTTTTTTCTGGCAATAGCCTATTTGTACTCCATAAGAGATATAATGAATTATCGAAGTTAAAGTATTATATAATTTGATTTCATAATACATATACTGTATGTATATTGTCTGAAAATTGCTTTATCAATTTGGTTTTTTTTTTTTTTGGAAATGATGATCTGCGTGATTTACGACGCGTATTTTAAAAAACGTGACATCGCGTTATTTTTATGTGCCACACCGACTCATCACATTGATATATGTACTTGGCTCGGAAGTGCTGTGTCGCGAAAAATTTGACTCTAAAAACGAAAGTTAATAAACCTCGTTTTTAGAAATTTTTTAGAATTCATCGACCTCCAAAAAAAGAAATTGTTTTCGTATAGAGAATACGAAAATTGCGTTGGTAAAACCTTTATTTACGGTTATTCGACTATTTGAGAATCCTTCGGTTCTTTTGTTCCGATTTCATTTGATCAAGTGGATCAGGACAACAGGTGATTTTATGCAGCTATCATATAAGATATGGGATGCAGATCCAGTGTGATCTTTAGGTTAAAAGGATCTATGTCTAGGTTATATATAAATAAAATTTCCAGTGAGAAATCAAGAAAAAGACAATGCACATAATACGAGTCATAACTTATCCATATACACAGTAATTTTCTGGAAGAAAAATGACACGATAGGAAAAGAGGATTTCTACACGGTAAAGTATACATGAATGAACTCGAAAATATCGCAGTTTTCTAATAAAGAACACGCCAAAAAAGTGAATAAAATGCATCCAAGATCCTGTATTCAAAGTTTGATCTTGCAGAGTGGAACGGGGGAAGCATTCAACATTCATCCCTCAGATGTCCCTATGGCTATGTACGGTACGATCAAATCAAATGACATGACGAGGCACAAGGAAATGTATTGTCGACCAATTCAGAAGAAGTTCACTTATTCATTATACAGTTAAATGTCTTGGAAAATTTTGAGTATCGTGTCGCATCAAAAGGATTTACCGGTCTTCAATCTAGAAATTAAATTGAAGATCCTGGTGAAAAAATACATTTGTGATGAGTAAATACTAAAATAAGCAATTCGATGATAGACCACTTCACATAAATGCTAAATAAACATATGCAAATAATTTATCATTTTTACCCTCAACCCTTTCATGTGACTATCGAATCGCGAAGCAGCCAACCCATAGGAACTATCAAAATACGACCATGAAGTTAGCATCCATGAAATTCAAGGGGACAATTTATCCCTACCGTTATATTGTTCTTCTTTTGTCTTCTTTTGCCATAGTTATCCAGCAAAATGCTAATTGGCGGATGGTTGACCGATTCAATCCATCCGCATAACGTTCAACATCACATGATAATATGCAATAAGATTTATTCGCATCCGAGATTTGTGTGATCATTTATAATGTCTTCTAGAACTCACTACAACGAATTAGAAAATATTGTTGATGGAAAAAATCTTTCAGGAATGACGACTAATGGATCAGGACTAAATATAACGGCAGCGAAACCTACTGTTGCTGTTACAAATGCCAAGTCTGATAATCACATAAATGTTTCCGTGTTGGAAAATAGTAGTTTTTCAGGTACAGGCGATGCTTGCGTTCTTTCTAGTTTGTCGGTCTATTTTTTTGGCAAAGGCGCGTAGACCCTTATAAAGAGTTAAGTTAATTATTCCTTTACCATGTTGTGCAATAGTAATGACACTTCACCAGGCAGCTCAACAAGGGAATCTGCATATAGTGAAGAGCATGTTAGAAGGCGGCCAAGTTAAAGCAACAGACCGAGATTCGCAGAATACAACACCATTGCATTGGGCAGCAATCAATAATCATGTGGAAGTGGCAAAATTCTTGATCGATAGTGGAGCAGAAGTAGACGCTTTAGGCGGGGATTTGGTTGCCACTCCATTACATTGGGCGGCAAGGTGCGTGCCCTTATGTTACCATAACCTTGGTCCCATACAAAATTTATTTCCTGAACTTCGAAAACCAAAACATGTTGCATGTATATATATATTTTGCGAAACGAAATATACTTGATTTTATTGTCATTCTTTTCCATGTTTATTTTTGACAACCTCAAATGATGAATCGTACAAATAAATTTTCTAGGAACGGCCACTTACCCACCGTCACTCTCTTGGTCAACCATGGAGCTGATCCCAAAATACCGGATTCACAAGGATTTAATGGGTTACATCTCGCAGTACATGCATCCAGTACTATGCTAATTCTTTATCTGGTTTATCATAATATGGATATTGACACGCCGGATGCTCTTCAACACACACCTTTGATGTGGGCTGCCTATCAAGGCGATGCACAGTCAGTGGATCTGCTTATTCGACTTGGGGCATCTGTTAATAAGATCGATGCAGCACAATTTACACCTTTGCATTGGGCCATAATCAAGGGGAACCTAATGTGCATAAGAAAATTAATAGAAGCTGGGGCGGATTTAAGAGCCAAAGAAGAGAATGGAAAAACTCCTTTTGATGTCTCCCGAGAAATGAAATCTGATAGAACATTGGAAAGGGCTTTAATAGAGTCAGGAAGGATGAAGGATGGAACGAGGAAACCTTATTTGTTCGAAAGGGTATTTAACTCCGAACAATTATTTTCGTGGTCACATTGTTCTCCCAAATTTAATTAACTTTATTGCTACGCATACTTCGGAACAGAAAACGACACTCGCTATCATATATTCGATTCCCTTCTTTGTTCTTTTTGCCGCTTTCCAGACATTAGCATATTATCCTTGGTTTATCGGTTTACCCTTGGCCATCGGCGAATTCGTCGCTAGTCACATGATAATAGTAAAGATCCTCATTAAAGCACAACTACCAGATGCAATGATGAGAACTCCTTACTTCACAAGTATATTCCAAGCGAGTGCATTTTGGGTTGGTGCCACATGGTTGCACAGAATTTTGCTTGGTATTCAACTTCGATTACTACTTACTTTCAATTAAGGATTAAATCGATCTCGTTAATAACTCTCTCTTTATTTTTAATCTTTCAGTGACGTCGTATTTATTCGTCGCAAATATAACATTCGTAGTTTCTTATTTTTTTGCAATGTATTCATTCTACACGGCTGTGCTGGCTGATCCCGGTTTCATTCCCAAGTTAAACTCTGAAGAAGATAAGAAGAAGGTAATTTCAATATTAGATGACACTATTTCATGATTTTCTCCTCTAATTTACCGTTTGTAATTTCTTAGTTAGTATTGGACCTTGCCAACAAAGGATTGTTAGATGTTAGACATCTTTGCATTACATGCCTGGTAAATAATTACCCGTGAAACATAATCATTCAATGTAATCTTTACATCGGAAATTTAACGGATTCACTAATGCAAAATTTGCAATCAGATTAAGAAACCGCTTCGTTCCAAACATTGTAAAATATGTGATAGATGTGTGGCCCGTTTTGATCAGTAAGTTATTAATTCCTTTACCGGTTTTATTTTCTGACGGTCATTTAACCGATGGTTTTTCCATTATCCAGTCATTGTCCTTGGATATTTAATTGCATCGGAACACGAAATCATCGTCCATTCATGGTGTTTCTCATGATGATGATCGTTTCTATCTGCAGTTTCGAATATCTTTGCTTCCAGTGTACGCAATTTATTACTGTATCTTTCATATGCAACACATGTCGTAATATTGATGGATTCACACATGACCATTTTATTAGATTTCATGATCGTGGCACCTGAATATGTTCCAATTCCATCAGAAGCATGTCTTCTGAACGGCACCCTATGCGGATTCTTCCAGTACGACGCATGGACCAGTGTATTGTGTATTTGGATTGGATTGCAACTAACTTGGACCGTGGGATTATTAGGAATGCAAAGTTTTCAAATCTCTTCTGCGAAAACCACAAACGAAATGGCGAACTTCCATCGATATTCCTATTTTGGAAATCGCACAGGTGGAAATGTGCGAGAACAAATTATGGCTACTTTGGCCGCCGGGCCTGGCGCGAGTAGAGCAGCACAAGTTGGCGATGGTGGCGGAGATGATCATTCTTCGGATAACAATCACGGCAATGCCTCGGGACTATTGAGGATGTTTGGGGGACGAGAGGGCGCACGTCGAAGGAACAACAGTCTGCACAATTATAATAATGGAAATCCGTTTGACTTTGGATGCTGGAATAATTGTCTCGACTTTTGGTCGCAAGGCCAAGGCGGGATGTTACAAAATGTGGATTGGTATAGACTTTACGACGTTCCACTTACTGATAGACGCAGTAATTTAATGTCAAGGAACGGTGGCTATATGGCTTTAAGAAGGGACGAAGAAATTGTATAAAAGGATGTATTTTTAAAAACCTTCTTTATTTTGAATGTCTTTTTTTTATGGATTTTTATCAAACTTTTTTAGGTAATGTATAACAAAAATGTATAATTAAAAAATCATACATATTGATAAATATATGACAAAAACTAGGGCACATATTTGTGTTACGAATTATTATAATCATTTTCATAATAACAATGATTCATAGAGTTGCCTAGCACGGTGCTTTCATTAGAAGTTATAAAACTATAATTTAGAAATTTATTAAAATACTACTACCTAACTTTCCTTACCACCTATAATTTTCGTAGAAAATTTGTTTCTTGTATCTATTATGAAATAAAGTATAATTTATTGAATGCATTCGTGTTTGACAAAAATTTCTCATATACAAACTATTTATGAACGTGTTTGTTGTGCGATTTATTATTACGTTAATTTTATTTATTTCATAATTCAAATATCTCCTACAAGAATATACTGTTATTCTTAAAAAAACGTACAGATATTTAAGCATATAATTTATTTTTTCAGAATCATATAGGTCTGCACATACAGTTATAAACAATACACAATGTATTTGGTTTATTATTATTTTTTTTTTATAAATATGTCGTAAATTAAAAGAAAAAAAAAATTTTTTTTTTGAAGAAAATACTCATGTTTCCAAAAAGTGTATACAGTCTATGAACATATTGATATATTATCTATATTGCATATACTGTATATTCATTATATTGCATTTGAAGTTTTACAAAATATTTTCATTTGGATTTGATTATTCAATTATTCAAATATATACAGTATATTGAAGAAAGTATATTGAAGAAAGCACTGTATATACTGTAAGTTAACTTTTAAAAATTCAAATTCAAATAAATTTATATAATACATTTTTTTTTAAATTTGTATTTATTAAAAATATAATAATCATTTTTTTTTTTTTTTTTTTTTTTTTTTTTTAATAGTAGAATTAACATTAAATGCCAATTGTTTATTGATTTAAATATTATTGATTATATATTATATATCATCTGCAATATTAAACTATAGCTAATGCTAGCCTACTCTATTGCTTAATCTTAACTATAAACTTATATTTCATAAGTAGGCTTACTTATGTTATTATAGAACTAATCAAGAGATGAGAATCCTATCACCAGTTTAAATCACCTAATCTATTAATTTGTTTTTGTTAAAGTATAAATCTATCTTGCAAATATAAATAGAATAATTGAATATCTTGATATTTTTTATCTTGAATCTTGAAAAGATAATATATTTGAATGATTCAAAATTAGGAAGTCCTTTTCTTATAAGGCTTATATTATTATTTAATAAGTTACCTTTTATATCATGTCTTCAGCTTATCAGTTTTTGGGATCAGGAAGTATCTGAATATATATACTTCTTAGTAAATGCTCTGAGAGTTTATTTTTCTTGATTAATATAAACTATCAAATCTAAAAACATAAATGTCAAGTGAAACGTAATTCCTATTATTATATTTCCTAACAAACATTTCAAGAAAAGAAGTTTGATTGGCTTTAGCTATTAAATCTAGAGATATAAATGTCAAGCAAGATACAACTCCTATAGAAAAATCCTTATGACTAACTATAATCTATTCAAAATTGATGTTTATATCGATAATTTTTTTCAAGTTAACTTATTTCCTAATAATAAGAAGTGTGGTAAGACTTTTATCGGAGTTAAATCAGAAGCCTTTTTTCATATAACCTTTTCTACTTTAACCTATTTTCAACACACGATCATCAAAAAGATCAAAGATTTCAATTTCATGTAACCTAATTGAATTTGATTAAGAACCAAATATTTGGATATAACATTTGTAAAAATCCAGTAAAACCCATAAATAAAAGATAAATTTATGTAATTTGCCTTCTATGGATATTGAACTAGGGACATGCATTTAAAAACCAGGAAGCACTACCTACTGTACTATTGATCTATTGGTTTAACTATAATAATCATATATATAAATTAAATCAATTATTAATATTGTTACTAAAAATTTTTTGGATTTTTATTAACTTTAATTATATTCCATCATATATTATTATTTATTTATTTATTTTAAACACCAGCTGGGCCTTGCTTTATTGACTTTTAAATACTTTATACATATCACGTTTTTGTGTATTGTACATAGTTTACTATATGTGAATAAAGCTATATCTAAGTAACTTACATATCGGCTTGTTGCTGTCAGCTTGTCCAAGGACAGAGGCTTGAGCTAACGTGCCAAGGCTCCATTAGCTTGTATATAGAAATTTTTGATTAAATGGTTAAAGTTCGTGTTGTGTTCTTGTTTGTTATTTTGTATTCTGTTGCTAGTTAAGTATTCATGAATACTTTTGGTCAGCTGTGTCCTGTCTTTTGATTGGTTGTTTATTGTGTTCCTTGTATCTTTCTTTTTTCTATTTCGTTTGTCCCTTTGTGTAATCCCTTCCTGTTTTTCCCATTCTGCATTTTCTGTGCATCTTTGTTGCCATGTTTTGTATATAACTGTTGTGATTCGCTGTTGTATTTTGGCTATGGCTTTTCTCCATTCTTCTTGTATCCTTTGTTTTATTGTTTTGTAGAGGTTCTTTGTCATTACCCCTTTGACTATATATTCGATGTTGCTTTTGTTTGGTGGTAGTGCTTTCCTGATCTGTGTTTCTAGTTTCTCTGGTTGTTTTCCTTGTGATCTTGAGCTGATTTCTTGTGATGCTATTGATATGAACTCATTATAAATATCTTTTTCACTGTGTTCTGTGAAGTAGTGAGTGTTGTCTTCGACTTGGTTACATCTATGACAATGGTTTGTTTTGTATGTATGTGGGTTGCGTTTGTATAGATTGTTTTTAGTTGGCAGCTCGTTGTTGAGGAGCTTGTATTTGAATGCTCTTGTGTTATGTTCTTCTCGTGACATGATGTCTGCTGTGATCTTTGTTGGATGCTGATTCTCCCATGTTTCTCGCCATAATATTTGATCCTCTTCTTGTTTGTCCAGCCATTGTATGTGTCTGTTTTGTGTGCACCATCTGGCTATCCACTTTGCGTTGATAATGTTCTTGATGGATCTGGAGATATCTGTGTCTAGTGTAAATTCTTTCTATTGTATTGTTGTTATGTTGGTTGTTGTAAGGTCTTTGAGGTGTATAATGTGTTGGCTACTTCTTCCCTCTTTTGCTTCTTGATCTGCTTTATCATTCATAGTGTCATTATTGTGTGCCTTGACTTTGGTAATGGTTGTGTTGCCTGTTCTCCTATTAATCTGTGCCTGAATTTGTGCGATTGTGAGATGGTTAGGTTGTTTCGTTTGTATTGTTTTGCTTTTGCCATTTTTTATTGTGTGTATAGCATTGCTACTGTCTGTGTGGATGTTGACATTGGCTGTTGTTGGGATGAGTTCGATTGCTGTAAGAATTGCCATCAGCTCTGCCTTTGTGGAGGATGGAAAGTATTCGCATCTGGCATTGAATGTTATTTCTTGTCCTGTGTTTCTGTTTTGTATGATGATGCCTATACCCATTTTCACGTTGTTGTTATCTGTTGGGTCCAGAGAGCCATCTGTGTACACGTTGATGTCATTTCATAGTTCTGTAAACCTCTTTATTTCTTTGATCTTTTCTTTTCCTGTTTGATTTGCTGTGATAGAGCTGCTGTTTCTGTTGTTGTCTATTGATATTATTGGTAAGGGGTCTGTTTGTTGTTTGTTGATCCCTCTGATATGTGCAAGGTTGTTGTGGATTGAGTTGGGGGATTGCTGTATGCGCATTAATTGACCTGTTATGTAGCTGTGGACTTTGAAGCTGTTGTTTGTTTTCTTGGTTGGGAGTGGGATGCATTCGTTTGCTGCTAGTTTTCTGGAGCATCCTGTTTTGCTACCTCGTGTGTTTAAGTTGCATCCTGTGCATCTTTCGATGGGTGAGTCTCCTGCTATTTGGATAAAATGCGTTGCTGTAATGTGATTGTTATTTGGTCGGTGTTTTGTTGTTCTTTTGCCTATGTATATCTGTCTGTCTATACTTGTGGCAAAGTATTCTCCTCTGTTTATTGTTGTGTTGGTGGATGTTCTGTGTTGTGTTAACAAGTTTGTTGACAGATTTGGAATGGTAATTCTCCTGTCGTTTGTGATTATGTTTTCTTGTGCAAGGAAATTTGTCAATTGGTTGAACCATTTTGGATGTCTGCCAATGTACTTGACTTTTTCTTGTGCTTTGAACTGTGTCCACGTAATCATATGTGTTTGTGTTGTGTTTGTCACTTGTTCAATGAACATCAATTTGTGTTTTCTAAGTGACGCTCTATTTTTGATGTACCATTGTTGCGACGTATGTCCTTCGATTGGGTGTAGCAGAGGGTTCCAAGGTGTTTGCAGGGCTGTGTTGCTAGGTATTATATTTATGTCATTTTCCTTGAATAGTGTTAGTATCTTACTAATGAAATTGTTGTTGATGTTTTTTAGATCGTTTGTTGTCTTCACTGTGACTGGTTGTGTGCTCCACACTTGCTCTTGCAGGCTTTGCAGCCTTGCTCTTGTTATTTGTCCAATGATGTTGTTACTGTTGATTTGGTTCATCCAAGTTCGTGTGTGTAATTGGAGCATCCTATCATAAATGTGAAACACCTTGTATCCTGTATGAAGGTGAATTCCACTGTTGATACTTGTACATGCTATGTTGATTTTGTTTTTGATTACTGCTATGATTTTCCTGTTTATTTGTTGGCATTCTGTTTCGCTCAATATGATGTTTTGGAGCAAGTATTCTATTGCTGGCATCAGGACTTGGTTGAGGATATATCTGCATTGTTTGTCTGTAATATGCTTTCTTTTGAGTATTTTGGTAGTATAGTTGATTTTGTCTTGAATGATCTGCTTTTGATGAGTCATTTTCCCTGATTGTGTGATGTATACTCCTAGGATTCTGATCGGTTCATCTTTTTGTGCTTTGGTGATCTTGTGATTGTTGGACTCCAGTGTCGCTTCTTCTGTGTTGTTGACTGTCAGTAATGTTGACTTATCAGGGTTGAGCTTCAAATTTGTGAACTGGGCAAATGTATCTGTGATGTTCTGTATTTTTTGTCCATTTTTCTTGTTCGTTGTGATCCATGTTGCATCATCCATGTATGCCACCACAGGTATTTGGACTAGAGGGTCTCTGACTGTTTCTAACCATTGGTTGTGCCTTGTATTGTGTAACTTGTATCCTATTTTAAGCTCGCTTATTTTGGTGATTAAGGGATCATAGTATATACGCCAAAGCAGTGGGGAGATTGTGTCGCCTTGGTCTATGCCGTTGGTTGGTGAGTATTCATCTGTTAACCCATGGCATGTAATTACTCTGTTTTTCCGATCTGTGTTGAGATTCAAAATAATCTTGATCACCTTTTCTGGGGTTTTGATTCTCTGTAATGCTTTTTCCAAGATGCTGTGTTTGATTGAGTCGTATGCTTTGCTGATGTCTTGGTTGATTAGCCAGCATTCCTTTTGGTTTTGTCTTGCATCTTCCAGAATGTAGTTAATTATTGATATGGGTTCATTTGTGCCGCCTCCTGGCAGGCCTGCCCAGTTGAGGGGTGAGAGAATTGGGTGTTGAGTTAAGACCTTTGCAAGCCTGTTATTTATGATTTTTGTAAAGATCTTTTTGATGGTTTCTATTAGGACGATCGGGCGGGTGTGATTGAGGTCATGTTGCCAATCTGTTTTCTTGGGGATTGGATATACCAGGTTGTGTTGCCACTGTGTTGGAATTGCAGTTGTATCCAGAATTTTGTTGAAGATGTCTGTTATTCTTTGTATGGCTTTGTCTCCCAAATGTTTGAGTATGTCATAGTTTATTCCTGATGGGCCGGGCGCTGAATTTTTACTTGTTTTGGCGATGGTTTTTCTAGTCTCTGATGGTTGTATTTTTTGTAGTACTGCTGTGTACCAGCCTTCTTGTATGTTGTCCCTTGGCTTGTATTCTTTTTGCCATTCTGTGGGGATTTGTGACGTGTTGTGGTGTACTGGCTGATGACTGAAGTGCTTTTTTGCCAGTTCTTTGATTTCTTTTGGTTCTGTGATGATGTTTGTTTCTGGATCTTTGATGACAATTGTGTTCATTTCGATTGTTTTGTGCTCTCGTGATAGTATGCTGTTGATCATCTTCTTTTTGGATTTCGAGTATTGATCCATTCTTTTTTGGGTGACTTCTTTGATTTGAGCATTGATGTTACTTTGTAGTTCGTGATTGGTTGTCTTTTTCATTACTTGCCAGAGGTCTTTTATTTCTTCCAGCCATTTTGTTTTTTGACTAGCACTTTCCTGGAAGGGGAAGTTTGTTATGGATATGTTTTGTTTTTGTAGGGATTTTGTCATTTTGTTGATTTTTTTAACCATTGTATTTGACTTTCTCTTTCTTTTGATGTATGTATTGGCTAGATGTACGAGTTTCCCAAGGTTGTAAACTGAGCCAATGTTTTGGTTGGAGTTGTGTAGTTGTGAATGGTTTCTTGCTTGCTTGTGTTTGGAGATCTTTTTGGGGTTGGCTTTCTTAACATGCCTTTTTGCTGTTGTGCAGATACTGTTCCAGGTGATGTTCCAGAATCTTTCTACTGACATGTGGGTGATGTTGTATAAATTTTCTTGCCGTTCTATTTCCTTGTCCAGATTCTCTTGAAATAGCTTCCATTGCTTTGCCTTTGTTGCTTTAGTGTTGAATGCATTTGTCTTGAGAGATGTGTTGTGTGGTATTACTTGGTCGTCTCCTATAGGTATATGTATTGTGCATGTAGCAATATTGTGGTCACTATTGGAAATGAACTCTGATGATATGATATGTGCCTCCAGCATGAACCAGTCTGAATTTGGGGACAGCCAGATGTAATCAATTCGTGTTGCAGCTCCATTGTTATTTTGCCATGTATATTCTTTTTTGGATGGGTGATGAAATCTGTATGTGTCTATGTGGCCCAGTTGTGTAAGTGTATGGAGGATTGAGTTTGTAGGTCGTGTTTTGCAATTGGCTTTTGAGTAATTGAGTTTGTCAAGCTTTGGGTTTGCCAATCCGTTAAAGTCTCCCAGTGTGATGGTGAGAAAGTCTTTGTTATTCTTTTCCCAAATTTTTTGGTTTGTCCAGCTTAAAAATTGTTTGCGGTTGCTGTTGAGTGATGCTGGAACATATATTCCAATGATACTAACTTTGTTGTTGTTTTTGTAGTATAGGTCTATGCAGATGCCTCTTCCTGGGAACTTGTCTACATTACCTATGTGTTGTGCGATTTCTGTTTTGAGCATAATGATGATTCCTGCCCCTTTGTTATCTTCTGATGCGAAGCTTTGATAGCCTGGAACCTTCCAATGCTTGCTGGAGTCATTTGTGATTTGTGTTTCTGTAATCACAGCTATATCCACCTTGTTGTCTGTACAATATTTTTGCCATAGCGCTTTTTTGAGGGGGTTGTTAAATCCTCTTGTATTGTGTGTTACTATGTGCCATTTGTGTTGTGTGCCGGTTGGTGGTTGTTCAAGTGAATCTGTTGTGTTGTTGCTGGTGTCCTCTACTATTGTTGGTGCTGTCGTTTGGTTTCTTATGTCTTGTGTGATTTGGTATATGTTTGGTTGATTTTCTTTCTGTGTTATTGTTGTGTCTTCTTGTGATGTTTCTGAGTCTGACCATGAGAAGTTGTTGTTGAGTTGTTCGTTTGTAATTAAATTTAGTGTTGTGGTGTTTGAGTCATTGCTTGAACTGTTTTCTTGGGCTAAAGAGATATTACTGATTGTATTCCCCATCTGATTTGTGTGATTGGGTTGGGATTCTAGTGAAGGTGTCCATTGTTACTACGATTTGGTTCATACTGTTTTGCATCCCATCCAGAGAGGCAAATAGTTGTGTTTGGCGACTTCTGATGTCGTTCATGTTGTTTTCTTGTGTTTCTTGTGGTTGTTGTTGGTTGGTTGTTTCATTTTTTTCTTCATTGATCTGTTCACTCTCCATGGATTCATAATATTCTTCATTATGGTACTCAAGGTTTGTGATACGTTCATCTAGTTCTGTGATTTTTTCCTTTACCTCTCCTAGGTCTCTTTGAATTTGTCTTAGGAGGTTTGCGATTTCTGTTAGGGATTGTGGGTTTTCTTCTCTATTTTGTGTTTGGGTTTTGACTGCAGTTGCATAGGATCCTGCTCTGCTTTGCCCATCTGATCTTGGTCTGTTGACATT